TAATAATAACAACAATCTTCTATATTATACAGATTGAAAATACAGTCAACATAAAGGTAAAAGAAAATTGAAATATCAAAAAGAAATAATAATCAAATGGCTGGAGAGACGGCTCAGCAGTTAAGAGCACTGGCTGTTCTTCCAGACAACATAGGTTCTATTCCTAGCACCCACATGGCTCATAACCACCTGTAATTCCAGTTTCAGAAGATCCAACACCCTCTTCTGGCATCTGGGGGGCTCCTGCACATGTGATGCACATAAATTCATGCAAGCATACACACACACACGTAAATCCTTTTTTTTTTTTTTTTTTAACATCCTTATGCTGAAAAGAAATGGATGTCAAACAAGCCGCGAATGGCAGTGAGACGGCCCAAGGAAAGCTGGCAGAGACTGCAGGCAGGATGGTGCACACATTTCAAATATGGGGAAGAAAAAGCCTATGAGATTCATGCCTTTGTAAGTCACCCTTTCCCGTATGTCATAAACTATGCAAAACCCAAATAGAAGGTATTATATAGGTTTTGTCAATCTGCATTAGAACCAAAAGACCCTGAGTGCTCAGGGGAGGGGAAAATTTAGTGCAACAAAATGGTGAAAAAATAAAAGCAAATCATTGTGGATCACTTTAAAAAAAAAAAAAAAGAATATCCACTTTTTTTTTGGTCTTTTTTGAGACAGGGTCTCCCTGTAGCCCCAGCTGTCCTGGAACTCCCTTGAACTCACAGAGATCCACCTGCCTCTGCCTCCTGAGTGCTGGGATCAAAGGCGTGTGCCACCATGCCCAGCTCTACTTCTTCATTTTTTAAAAAATATTTTATTTATGCTGGGTGTGGTGCCGCACGCCTTTAATCCCAGCACTTGGGAGGCAGAGGCAGGCAGATCTCTGTGAGATCAAGCTCAGCCTCGTCTACATAGTAAGTTCCAGGCCAGTTGGGGCTATAGGGAGACCTTATTTTGTGTGTATGCTTGTATTACCTGCATGTAGGTAAGTGCACCTGTTTTGTGCAACGCCCACAGAGGACAGAAGAGACTGTTGGGTCCCCTGGAACTAGAGTTACAGATAGTTGTTAGCTGCCATGTGGGTACTGGGATTCGAACCCGGGTCTTCTGCAAGGACAGTCAGTATTCTTAATCGCTGAGCCATCTCTCCAGCCCTACCACTTCTTCATTTTCATCCAACAGGAAAATTAAGAACAAAAATAAATGGTTTCTAAATCCAAATTTATGTTTAAGTAAAACAGCATTTATAAAAAATGATATTGTTAGGCGTGGTGGTACACACCTTTAACCCCAGCACTTGGAAGGCAGAGGCAGGCAGATCTCTTTGAGTTCAAGGCCAGCAGGGGCTACAAAGAGAGTTCCAGGTCAGCTGGGGCTACAGGGAGACCCTGTCTCAAAAAGACCAAAAGAAAAAAACGACATATTAGGTCTAAAATAATATAAAAAAATTTAAAAGAACAAAAAGTGGAACTAAATAAAGCTAACTTTACAAAGTAATGTTGCTGGGTGTGCTGGCACACAACTTTAATCCCAGCAGGTGGATCTCTGCGAGACTGAGGCAGCCTGGTCTACATAGTGAGTTCCAGGCCAATGAGGGCTGCAGGGAGACTTTGTCTCAAAAAAAAAAAAAAAAAAGATATTGTATATAGAAAAAAAAAAAAGAAAAAAGAAAAACCTAAAGAATACACCAAACACATTCTCTTAAGTTAAGGACATAATACCCTATATCCCTATAACACCTTAGAGTACTTGTTTAACAAGTGCGAGGCCCTGATCTTGAGCTCAGCACCTCAAAACAAAACTATTAGAGTACGAATGCCACAGGTTACAACTATCTCTCTAGCCCCTGTTTATTTACTTTTTATTTATTTATTTTGCCTGCATGTACATGGGTGCACCTGTGTATGCAATTTCCATGGAGGCTAGATGAGGGTTCCAGATCCCCTGGAAGTAGAGTTACAGATGGTTGTTAGCCCTCATATGGGTGCTGGGAACTGAACCTGGGTCCTCTGAAAGAGCAAACAGTGCTCTTAACCACTGTGCCATTTCTTCAGCTTCTAAATGGAACTGAATTAAAAATCAACTTGGGAGCCAGGCATGGTGGTGCACATCTTTAGTGCCAGCACTTAGGAGACAGAGGCAGGCGTATCTCTGTGAGTTTGAGGCCAGCCTGGTCTACACAGCAAGTTCCAGGCCAGCTGGGGCTACAGGGAGACCCTGTTTCAAAAAGACCAAAAAAAAAAAAAAAGAAAATCAACAGTTCAAGGTAAGACTGGGCTACACAGTGAGATCAAAGCCAGCTTGGGGTTCATAGTGAGACCTTGTCTCAAAAATAAAAAATAGAGTGCTGGAGAGATAATTCAATGGTTAAGAGCACTGGATGCTTGTACAGAGCACCTGTGTTCAGTTCCTAACACCCATATCAGGAGGCTCACAACTGCCTGTAACTCTAGTTCCAGGGGATCCAACACTCTCTTGCCCTTCATGGGCACATGGGCACCTGCATGCACATGGTGCACATAAACTCAAGCAGTCTCTCTCTCTCTCTCTCTCTCTCTCTCACACACACACACACACACACACACACACACACGCACACACACACACACACAAATTTATTTATTTATTGTTTTTTTTGTCTTTTTGAAGGAGGATCTTTCTGTAGTCCCAGCTGTCCTGGAACTCACTATGTAGACCAGGCTGGCCTTGAACTCACAGAGATCTGCCTGCCTCTGCCTCCCAAGTGCTGGGGCTACAGGTGTGTGCCACCACGCCTGGCTTACATATAAATTTAAAAACTAATTAAATACATAAACAAAAATAGAGGACCAGTGAGATGGCACGCACACATACACATCATGCACATACAATAATAATAAATAAATTATTTAACATTAAAAATAAAAATAAGCTGGGCACTCAGGAGGCAGAGACAGGTGGATCTCTGGGATAGCGAGGCCAGCCTACTCTACATAGCCAGTTTTAGGCCAGCTGGGGCTACAGAGAGACCCTGCCTTAAAATACAAAACAAGAGGGGCTGGGGAGATGGCTCAGTGGTTAAGAGCACTGACTGCTCTTGCAGAGGACCCGGATTCGATTTCCAGCACCCACATGGCGGCTACAAACCATCCTTAACTCTAGTTCCAGGGGAATCCGAAGTCCTCTTCTGACCTCCGCAGCACTGCACAACACGGAGGCACTCACATACATGCAGGCAATACACCCACACACAAAATTTAAAAAAAAAAAAAAATTGAAAAAACAAAAAACCAAAAAAACAAAAAAACAAAACCAAACCAAACCAAAACCAAGCCAGATGTTGGTGGTACACACCTTTAATCCCAGCACTTGGGAGGCAGAGGCAGGTGGATCTCTGTGAGTTCAAGCCCAGCCTGGTCTACATAGTGAGTTCTAGGCCAGCTGGGAAGGGAGACCCTGTCTCAACAAAAAACCAAAATAAACAAACAAACAAACAAATACATAAATACATAAGAATAAAAATAGGGGGCTAGAGAGATGGCTCAGTGGCTAAGAGCACTGGCTGTTTTCGCAAAGGACCTGGGTTCGAGTCCCAGCATCCACATGTCAGCTAACAACCTTCTGTAACTCCAGTTCTAGGGGATCCAATGCCCCCTTCTGACCTCTGCTCGTATTGCACAAAATGGGTGCACTTACATACATGCAGGCAAAACACTCAAAAAATAAGAATAAAAATTTCTTAAAAATGGGGGGATGGGGCTGGAGAGAGCGTTCAGCAGTTAAGAACACTGACTGTTCTTTCAGAAGATCCAGGTTCAAATCCCAGCACCCACATGGCAGCTAACAACTGTCTGTAACTCCAGTTCCAGAGGATCTGACAGCCTCTTCTGTTTTCCGTAGGCATTGCATGACACCGGTGCACTTGCCTACATGCAGGCAGTGAGTTCGAGGCCAGCCTGGTCTACATAGTGAGTTCCAGGACAGCCTACAGGGAAATCCTGTCTCAAAAAAAAAAAAAGGCAAAAAAAAAGGGGGAGATGGAGAGATGGCTCAGCAGTTAAGAGCACTTGCTGCTTTTGCAGAGAACCCTGGTTTGGTTCCCAGCACTCTCATGACAGCTAACAACTGTTCTCTCTCTTCACGCCAATGCTCTCTTTTGGCCTTGGTGTGCATGTATACACATGGTGCACTTACACACATGCAGGCAAAACACACATAAAATAAAAACAATTAGAATATAAATAAATAATAAAAATAAAAATAGGGCTGATGACATGGATTAGCAGGTAAAGATACTTGCCACCAAGCCTGATGACCTGAATTTAATCCCTAGAACCCACATGGTAGGAGAGAAGCAATTCCTGCAAATTATCCTCTGACCTTCACATTCATGCTATAGAGATCACACATACACAAAACAAATAAATAAAATACAATTTTAAAACTACAAATAAATAGAAATTAATATTAAAAAGATACCTGAAGGCCAGGTATGATGGTGTAGGTCTTTAGTCCCAGAACTTGAGAGGCAGAGACAAGCAGATCTCTGTGAGTTCAAGGCCAGCCTGGTCTATACAGTGACCTATAGGCAAGCTAGGACTCTGTCTCAAAAATTAAGCAACATAACAAGACCAAAAAAATGTTATCTGGAAAATTTCCATACATATTTAAATTAAATGATGTATTTCTTTTTTAAAAATTTTCCTTCATTGTTGAAGATTGAACTCAGGGACTCACAGATTTTAAGCATGCCCTTCATTACTGTATTACACTAAGAATCTATTCACTCTAATAACCCAAGGGACAAAATAAAAGTTATCAGGGAAATTAGAAAACATTTCAAGATAAATACTGATAAAAGTACAACTTATCAAAATGTGTAGGATGTGATTAAAGTGGTACCTGAAAAGCATTTATGGGGCTAGGAATATAGCTCAGTGGTTACAGCATTTGCCTAGCATGCACATACATACACAAAAACCCACCAAGATTTGAAAGAACCATCAAGAACATTTATAGCTTTAAAAGATTCTAAGAGTCTGGATGTGGTGGTATACACATTTGGTCCCAGCACTCAGGAGGCAGATGCAGGTGGATCTCTGTGACTTTGAGGCCAGCCTGGCCTACATAGTGAGTTCCAAGCCAACCAACACTACATAGTGAGACCCTGTCTCAAAAAACAATAAACGATTATAAGAAAATGAAAGTTTATAATCAATAACCTCAGTGTCTAATTTAGCAATCTAAAAAAACAAAGACATAGAGGAAAAAAATAATAACAGAAATCAAAGAAATAGAAAATGAACAACTGATGGGGAAAGAAAAAAATCAAGGGCTGGAGAGACAGTTCAGCAGTTAAGAGCATTGGCTGCTTTTGCAGAGGACCCAGGTTGGCTCCCAGGACCCATATGACAGCTAACAACTGTCCATAACTCCAGTTCCAGGGGATCTGATGCTCTCTTCTGACCTCCATGGGCATTGCATGACATGGGTGCATTTAGATACATGCAGGCAATACATTCATAAAAATAAAAATAATAAATAAGAAAAGTCAGTAATGCCAAAAATTGGTTCTTTGGAAAGAAAAAGAGAAAAACTTATAAATGATTAAAATAATGAGTGAAAGAGAACTTATCATTACAGACTGAACAGGCATTGAAAGAAAGCCAGATACTTTTATATATCCAACCTACCTCTTCAAAGGAATATTTTTCTACAGTACGAAGAGCATCCTGTGTCTCATTCCACCCTCCGAGAGAATAGATGCAGTCATTGAGTACAGCCACTCCAAGATATGCTCTTCTAGTTCCCATAGGAGGAAGTGGAGTCCAACGCTTAGAAAGTGGATCATAAACTTCAAAAGAACGAAGTTCTATTCCTTCATTGCTGATTCCTCCAACTACATAAATTAAACCTGCAAAATGGAAAATTTGTGTTCAACTGCAATTGAAAATAAGATAGAAGGGTTAGAGAGATGGCTCAGTACTTAAGAGTGCTTCGTTGCTCTTGCAGAAGACCCAAGTTTGGTTCACAGCACCCAAACTGGATGGCCTTTACCTGCAGATCCAGGGGATCCCTCTTCTGGCTTCAGCACTGAACACATGCGGCTACCTCACACACATACACAAACAGACACATGCATAAATTTAAAAAAGAAAAGAAGATATAGTAGGCAGCATTATATTTAATTCTAGGGCTTGCAATATTATTTAAAAGAAAAAAATATCAAGGCTGGAGAGATGGCTCAGCAGTTAAGAGTGTGTATTGCTCTTGCAGAGAACCCAAGTTTGGTTACCAGCACCTGGTGCATCAGACAGCTCATAACTACCTGTAGCTCCAGATCAGACACTTCTGGCCTCCCTAGGTACCCACAGTCATATGCACAGACACACATACACAAAACGTAATTAAAAAAAAAAATCAGTGTCAGTCTAGGTTATCACATCTCAATTCAATCATGCTACCAAAAAATTAGTGAAATTTAAAGTGGCGCTGAATTTTCAAAGAACTTAATCCTAGTGTAACAAAATAATTTGTCAAACAAATTTGTCTGCATGGTGATCCTAGGTTCCAAGTACACTATTCTCACCCATAGATTAAAAACAAAACAAAACCTGTGGAGGCCATTGAGACCACGCAACAGATAAAAGGGCTTGCCTCCAAGACTAACGACCTGAGTTTGATTTCTGGGCCCCACATAGCAGGAGAAGAGAACTGAGTCTCTTAAGTTGTTCTCCGGCCTTCGCACAAGCACTATGGCATGCACATTCATAAACACACACACACACACACACACACACACACACATACACACAACTGTAAAAAAAAAAGTTGGGTGCCTGTGAAATGGCTCAGCAGGTAAAGGTGTTTACTCTAAAAGCCTAAAATGTGAGTTTGAGCCCAGAACCCATGTAAAAGTGGAAGGAGAGAATAGGTTCCACAAAGTTGTCCTCTGACCTCCACAAGCACACTCTGGCATGTACATCTTCAGACACATCATACACAAACAAAACAATAGTAAATATAATAAACATTGTTTTTTCTTTTCCTTTTTTGAGACAGGGTCTCCCTATAGCCCCAGCTGGCCTGGAACTCACTATATAGACCAGGCTGGCATCAAACTCATGGAGATCCACCTGCCTCCTCCACTTGAGTGCTAGGATTAAAGGTGTGCACTACACTGCCTGGCTAAACATAGTTTTTTCAAAAAGGAAAGAAACAGGAATGTTCCCCCCGCCCCAAAAAAAACGGCATGCACTTAAGTTGGAAATGACATTGCTCTCTTTAGTGACAGCCTAGCTGTTCTTCAAGTGAACATAAAATTGGTAATTTTTTTGGATAGAGTCTCATGTAGCCAAGGCTGGCCTCAAACATGTTATGTCAAGGGTAATGATGAACTTCTGATCCCCCTGTCTCCACCTCCCCAGTGTTGGTATTATACGTAGGCACCATCATACTTGGTTTTATGGTGGTCCTGGGGAATGAACTCAGGGCTTTGTGCACAAAAGCCCTTTACCAACTGGGCTATATCCTCAACCCCTAAATCAGCAATTTAAACTAAAATAGTTATATAGCTAGATTAAGATATCACGATAGCCAGATGTGCTATCTCATACTTTTAATCTCAGCACCCAAGGAGGCAGAGGCATGCAGATCTCTGTGAGTTTGAGGCCAGTCTGGTCTACATAGTGAGCTCCAGGCCACCTGGGGCTACAGGGAGACTCTGTCTCAAAAAGACAAAAAAATTTGAAAAAAAAAAGACATCTTGGCAGGGCGTGGTGGCGCATGCCTTTAATCCCAGCAATTGGGAGGCAGAGGCAGGCGGATCTCTGTGAGTTCAAGGCCAGCCTGGTTTTCATAGTGAGGTCCAGGACAGCTGGGGCTACAGGGAGACCCTGTCTCAAAAAGACCAAAAAAAAAAAAAAAAAAAAAAAAAAGACATTTTAAGAAACATGGAGTAAATGTTTATACTTAGGTTTTAGTTATAGCTTTCCAGAAATTAGCTCCAAGAAAAGACAACTCACAGTCTTAGTGATCTTCAGCTTCTTCATCTATAAATTAAAGAGATTAGATATAATTTCCAAGGTCCTTCTCTAGCTCTGTGATTTTAGATTGGAAGAGAAAATGTTAAATGTGCTCTTGCTTCCTGTGCCTGCTTGAAGATGTAGAGCTTAGCTTCCCCTCCTCGTCCAGCCACCTCTGCCGCCATGCCTCCCTGCCATGACAGACTCTTGCCCCTTTGGAACTGGGAGAACCTGAAACTTCTTAAAAAAGGAAAAGCAAGACCTGCCTTGCCTTAACTGAGACGTGGTACCTGTCCTTGAAGGCAAAACAGATGGATAAGGGAAATTCATGGGGTTCCCACCTCAAGATGAAGAGCTACAGGAAATCAGTGGATGCTGAGGGAGGGAGAACCAGTTTTCTCCAATTCACTTAGCTCCCCGAAAAGTTTCCTAATCCCAAGTGGGCAGTCCTAAGCACAGAGGGTGAGCTGGAGAGATGGCTCAGCGGTTAAGAACACTGTTCTTGCAGAAGACCTGGGTTCGAATCCCAGCACCCACATGGCAGCTAACAACTGTCTGTAACTCCAGTGCCAGGGGATCCAACAGCCTCTTCTGACCTCCATGGGCTTTGCACGACATGGGTGCACTTACCTACATGTAGGCAATACACACAAACTCATAAAATAAAAATAATAAATAAAATTATATTTAGAAAAGGGCCAGTGAGATGGCTCAGGAGGTAAGGGGCTTGCTGCCAAGCCTGACAATGTCAGTTCAATTCCTGAGACCCATATGATAGACGGAGAGAACTCAAATCATTGATTTTGTGGGAATAATTTCACTAATGTAAAAGAACAACATTTACTTCTTGTTATAATAAGTTATTGAAGCAATAAATATTAAACTTGCACCAAGTAAGAAACTAGAATCACTTTTATTTAAGATTTGCAAAAGAGCTGTAGGAATGGTTCAACAGTTAAGAACATTGCTCTTGCAGAGGACCTGGGTTCAGTTCCCAGCACCCTACCAACTACCTGTAACTCCAGTTCCAGGGGATCTGATGCCCTCTTCTGGCCTCTGTGGACACTGCATGCCTGTGGTACACATATACATGCAGGAAAAATACTTAAACACATAAAATATAAAGTTAAAGATTTACAATAAAAAAATATTAAGTGTAACAAAACTGAAGCTGCAGAGATGGCACAATGGTTAAGACCACTGGCTGTTTTTGCAGAGGACCCAGGTTCGATTCCCAGCATCCACATGGTGGCTAACAACTGTCCCTAACTCCAGTTCTAGAGGAATTTGATGCTCTCTGTGGGCATTGGACAACACGGGTGCACTTACACACATGCAGGCCACACACTCATACACATAAAAAATATTTAAAAATATTCTAAATATAACATAACTATAGAATACCCACTGTTTAATAAAGCATTCTTGGTACTATGTAGTTTGAACACTTAAATACTAATGGAAACTGGAAAAGTTGAGCTGGGCCAACACAGAACAACAGGCAGATTGTTTCCTACTCCACAAGTAAATAGAATTTGCACTCCAAACCTGAACACAACATCAGTTCTGACTTGACAGCTGATTACTTACCTCAGACTATAATAGGCAAAATAATGTCTATGTACCACTCTAAGCAGTACAGCCTTTTTTTTTTTCAAATGTGTTATAGGATCATATCCTCTGTAGACCTAATCATGCTCTACTTTGAGAAAAAAAAAAAAAAAGTAAAAGAAGCCTGTATGTAGAAACCACAAAAACTGTTTTTGGTATTCCTACTTTGAAAAAAATAATTCAGGTGTTGATGGGAAAGAAAATGACAATAATGGAGGACATTTCAAATGCATATTTTGCTAAGCATCCATTTCTGCCTATTTGAAGTTTTTTCTAATTTTTTTCTTTTTTCACTTTTTTTTGGGGGGCGGGACAAGTATGCCTACCTCTGCCTTCCAAGTGCTGGAATTAAAAGAGATACACCACCATATACTGCCCATCAAAGAGTTTTAAAATTTACATTTATTTACTCTGTGTGTGTGTGTGTGTGTGTGTGTGTGTGTGTGTGTGTGTGTGTGTACACTGTTACAGTACAGCGCACATGTGGCCAATCAGAGGACAACTTGCAAGAGTTGATTCTCTCCTTCTACCACATGAGTTTCAGGGATGAAACTCAAGTCAGCTGGGCAGAAATGCCTTTACCGGCTGTGCCATCTTGCTGGCTCCTAAAACAGTTTTGTTTTGAGACAGGGTTTCGCTGTATCTGGTCTGGAACTCATTATGTAGACCAGGCTGGCCTAGAACTCACAGAGATCTGCCTGCCTCTGCCTCCCAAGTGCTGGGATTAAAGGCGTATGCCACCACGCCGGGCTCAAACAGGTTTTTTTTTTTTAACAGTTTGTATATATACACACATGTACGTACACACACACACACACTCACACACACACCTACTTCTAGTATTATAGTACTAGAGATTGGACAGCAAATACTTTATGAAAATATTACCTTCCATTTCACAGCACCCAAAGTAATAGCGTGACACAGCCATGTTGCCAATCTCTTCCCATTTATTTTCATCAGGATCAAATCGTTCAATGGTGTTGCCTATCTCAGCCCCAACCCATCCACCTGTAACAAAACAGAAAAATATTTCTGGGATAAAGCAATCTTATTTATGACAAAGACCCTAGAAACTAATCTAAGCACCTCATATTATGGATGAGTAGGAAATGAACTGGAGAGATAATTTGTCCAAGATAACATGAAAAGTCAGAATATAATTATGAGTAAAAATCAGGTTTTTCCCTACTACAGAGAAGATAGAACAAAACAGAGCAAAAAAATCAACATATTGCACAAGAAATATGGTATTTTCCAAAACTACTTTTTTTTTTTAGTTTTTATTTATTTAGTTTTTGAGATATGGTGTCCCTGTAGCCCCAGATGGTCTGGAACTCACTATATAGGCCAGGCTGGCCCTGAACTCACAGAGATCCGTCTGCCTCTGCCTCCCAAGTGCTGGGATTAAAGGCGTGCACCACCATGCCCAGCTCTAGTTTTCATTTTTATTTTATGTGTATGAGTGTTATACTTGCATGTATGTAAATACACTCATGTCATGCAATGCCCACAGAAGGCAGAAGAGGGCATCAGATCCCCAGAACTGTAGTTATGGATGATTGTTAGCCGCCATGTGGGTGCTGGGATTCAAACCTGAGTCTTCTGCAAGAGCAGTCAGTGCTCTTAACTGTTGAGCCATCTCGCCAACCTTTTTTTTTTTTTAACATGACCTCTATATCTTCAAAACTGTTACACTAATCAAGGTCAATTCTGAGCTTAATCAGAGTATACAACCTATACTACCTATTTAGGATGAATTTAGGGACTTCAAAAACGCTTTGTACCCCCAAAGTCTCACTTTCTTGATAACTTCCAGTTTTTGTTTGTTTAAATAAAGTCTCATAATGTAACCCAGGCTGACCTCAAACTTGATCTTTCTGAGTGCTGGAATTATAGGCCTGGCTCATTCTCAATTCTTGAAATTGAAAATATTCTCCTCATCCATATATTCTGGCCTACAGCTGTAAATGAGTACTCAAAAGGCAGAAGCAGGAACATGGCAAGGTGGATTTACTACACAATAAGTTCCAGGCCAGCCTCAACCATATAGTGAGACCCTAACTCAAAAGGAAAGGTTATTTACTATAATTCAAGCTATTACTACAAATGCAAATATTCATAGGAGTAATAGAATATAATGGATTTAACTCACATTGATATATTTTCCAGAATAGGCTTTAATGGTGAGAATTAGAAGGAAAGATACTGAGTACCATACAGTGTATTGAAGAAGGAAGAACAAGGAGAAAATAAAGGAGGCTGAGTGCTATGTCAACTTACAATTTTCCCCACAAACAGCTCTGTAACATTTCTTATAGAAGTAATAAAAAAAATTAGAATAACTTGCTCAGAATCATTCACTAAATTTGCAATCATGAAAATAATGACATACAGAACTTCCTTTAGGTATTTTTAATTTTTTATTACATACTGTCTTATACATAATCAAGTTATCATAGAGAGGGGTAGAAATGTTATATATTTAGTTAAAAATCAAGAGATTTAACTACTTGGTTAGAATGTTTCACTAGACATCATATCTGCATTTCATCTCCATCTCTATTCATACTTAAACAGAAAAAAGAGGGAAAGATGTTCAGAGAGTGGTAATTGAGAAAAATCCCTGTAAATACAAAACAAATGGCAAGAGTATGACTAAGTGGTAGAACACACAAGGCCCTGGATTGATCACTAGCACTGCAAGAACAAACCCCCACAAAAATTAGCAAACAAAAACCCTTCACATTTGGCAATATTATCCAAATAGTACAATTTTGAGAACAAGAATATACAGAGCTGGCCAGGCCTAGTAGCCCATGCCTATAATCCAAGCACTTTGGAGGTAGACGCAAGCGGACTTAGGAACTCAAGGCCACACTAGGCTACATTAGACCAACACAACAAAGTTTTTTTACAGCACTAAACAAGATATATATTTAAAGGGCTAGAGAGATGGCTTATCAGTTAAGAGCACTTACTGCTCTTCCAGAGGACCTGGGTTTGGTTCCCAGCACACACATGGTGGCTAACACCTACCCTTAACTCCAGGTTCCAGGGCATCCAACACTCTCTTCTGGCATCTATAGTCACTAGGTACACACATAATGCTCTTATATACATGAAGGCAAAAAATTCACACACATTAAAAATAAATATATTTTTTAAAATAAATGCAGTTAAAAAAAGATACGCATTTTTTTTTCCTTTTGAGATAAGGTCTCACTATGTAGCCTTGGCTGGCCTAGACCTGGATGTAGACCAGGCTGGCCTCCAACTCACAGATATCTGCTGCCTTTGCCTCCCAAATGCTGGGATTAAAGGACTGTACTACCATGTCCAGCCATGATACACTTTTCTTGTGGGAGCAAGAAACATCTCTAAAACAGTGTGACTCTAAGATTCAATTAAAATTAGTGATCCTTAAATCAAACGGTATAATTACCCAAAGCATAGATAGCCCCATAACACACACATACTCCTAAGCCACAGCGGGGGTGATTCATTGAAGCAACAGTTGTCCATTGCTTAGTAACTGGATCATAACATTCAGTACAGTCAAAAATCATCGAATCCTTTTCACCTGATTTAAATAAAAGAGACACACATCAGATTTAGTGACACTAACAGATATAATACAATATTCAGTGGTACTAGCATTCTGTTTTCTAAAATCAACTTATATCTATCTAAAGATTAATTTATTTTTATTTTTATGGGTGATTTGGCCTGCACATATATCTGTGTACTAAATCATGTCTGGTGCTCACAGGGACTAGAAGAGGGTATTGGATCCCCTGGAACTGGAATTAGAGACAGTTGTGAACCACCATGTGGGCACTAGCAACTGAACCTGAGTTCTCTGTAAGAGCCCTGATTATGCCTAATTTTAAATATTTTATTTATTATTTTTATTTTATGTGTATGCGTGTATTGCCTGCATGTAGGTAAGTGCACCCATGTTGTGCAATGCCCGAGGAGGACAGAAGAGGCTGTCAGATCCCCTGGAACTGGAGTTACAGACAGTTGTTAGCTGCCATGTGGGTGCTGGGATTCAAACCTGGGTCTTCTACAAGAACAGCCAACGTTCTTAAACCACTGAGCCATCTCTCCAATCCCATGTCTAACTTTAAAACAGTCCTTAAAATAAGTCAGGCACAAGCCTTTAATTCCAGCATTTGGGTAGCAGAGACAGGCAGATCTCTGTGAGATCAAGCCAGCCTAATCTACATTGTAAGTTTCAGGTCAGCTGGGGCCACAAGGAGACCCTGATTCAAAAAACAAAAATCAAAACAAAACAAAGTCTTTGTATAGGGGCTAGAGAGATGGCTCAGCAGTTAAGAGCAATTGCTGCTCTTGCAGAGGACCTGGGTTTGGTTCCTACCACCCACAAGGTGGCTAACAACAGTCCTTAACTCTAGGGAATCTAATGCCCTCATCTGATCTCTGCAGGCATTGCACAACATGGGTGCACTTACAGACATGCAGGCATACATGTACTCATACACATAAAATAATAAAAATAAATAAAATATATTTTTCAATATAGCCAAGTAGACTAATAAAGGAAATAACTTTTTTTTTTTTTTTGGTCTTTTTGAAACAGGGTATCCCTGTAGCCCCAGCTGGCCTGGAACTTACTACATAGACCAGGCTGGCCTTGAATTCACAGAGATACACCTGCCTCTGCCTCCCAAGTGCAGGGACTAAAGGTGTGTACCACCACACCCAGCAAGAAATAAGATATTTTTATTATTACCTCCAATAGCGTAGACCATCCCTCCCAGAACTGCTACTCCCAGTCCACATCGAGCCTGATGAAGTGAAGATACAGTGGTCCAGTACTGGCTAAAGGTATCAAAGCGCTCTACACAGCTAAGGGCTCGGCTGTCACTCCAACGACCCCCCTGCAACCGTGTATATCCACCTAAATAAAAGGAAGGAGGTAAAAGGGCAGAGTAAATCATTTATGGCTAAATACAGAAATGACGGTAATGAGGAAAATCTACTCCTCTGTATCTAAACATTTATGACCTTACAGCCTATCACCTCGATAAAAGTGATACATAAAATGTGTAATTCTTTGTTTTTTTTTGGTCTTTTTGAGACAGGATCTCCCTGTAGCCCCAGCTGACACTCACTATGTACACCAGGCTGGCCTCGATCTCACAGAGATCTACCTGCCTCTGCCTCCCAAGTGCTGGGACTAAAGGTGGGCACCACCATGCCTGGCAGTAACATATGCAATTCTTAAATATTCCAAGTCCCTTTAGAAGATTATGTCTTACATGCAATGAGAAGGTTAACCTCAGTATTTTACCACAATGTCTCAGTTATAATAGAATACTAAATAAAATATAAAGCCAGGCAACATTATTTGTCTACCCAGAAAAAGGAGGTTTCATTATGACCTTCATTAAAAATAGTGGGTTGAGGGTCTGGAAAGATGGCTTGGCAGTTAAAAGCACTGACTGCTCTTCCAGAGGACCAGGATTCGGTTTCTAGCACCCATGTGGCAGCTAAGGATTGTCCATAACTCCAGTTCCAGGGGATCCAATGCCATCTTCTGGCTTCCATGGGCACCAGGCACACATGTGGTACACTTGCATGCAGGCAAAACACTCATACACATAAAAAAAAAAAATCTTTAAAAAATTTTTAGCTGGGCATGGTGGCCTACACCTTTAATCCCAGCACTCAGGAGGCAGAGGGACATAGATCTCTGTGAGTTCAAGGCCAGCCTGGTCTATATAGTGAGTTTCATGCCAGGTGGGGCTACAGGGAGACCCTGTCTCAAAAAAGACTAAAAAAAAAAGTTGAGGGGCTGGAGAGATGGCTCAGCAGTTAAGAGCTCTGACTGCTCTTGCAGAGGACCTGGGTTCAATTCCCAGAACCCACATGGCAGCTACGAACCGTCCTTAACTCCAGTTCCAAAATCTGACACCCTCTTCTGATCTCTGCAGCACTGCACAACACGGGTGCACTCGCATACATGCAGGCAATACACTTATACACATAAAAATAAAAAATAAATAAAATATTTTTTAAAAAGTTTAATTAAAAACAAAAAATAAATCTTAAAAAAAGACCCAAACAAACAGTGAGTTGAGGGCTACTGAGATGGCTCAGTGAGTAAAGGTGCTTGCTATGCAAACCTAAAGACCCGAGTTGGATACCCCAAACACACACAAAAAGACAACTTTGACTTCCACAAACACACCACGGAATGTGTATGACTCCCCACACACACGTACCCATACATGATAATAATAAAATAAATTGTTAAAATGCAAAGATGGGAGTTGGAGAGATAATGTAGTAGATAAAAGTAGGTACTACTCTTGAAGAGACCTCAACCTCAGTTCAATTCCTGGCACCCACATCAAGCAGCTCACAACTGTTACTCCAGCTGAAGGGGAATCTGATGCCCACTTTTGGTCTCTGCAGACACTGCACTCACATGCAAATATCCACAGACAGACACACACACAAATAATTAAAAATGAAACAAAATAAATCATATATATGTATTTTTTGGTCTTTTTGAGGCAGGGTCTCCCTGTAGCCCAAGCTCTCCTGGAACTCACTATGTAGACCAGGCTTGCCTTGAACTCACAGAGATCCGCCTGCCTCTGCCTCCCCAGTGCTGGGATTAAAGGTGTGCGCCACCACGCCCAGCCAAAATAAATCATATTTTAAAGTAAAAACAAAAAAAAGTGGGTTGAAATCCTCGGTTTCAATGCACATCTCCTCAGTAAAACAAATTCAGAGGCTGGAGAGATGGCACAGCAGTTAAAAGCACTGGCGGCTCTTGTAGAAGACTGGGGTTCAGTTCCCCAGCCCCACATGGCTTCTAACAACCATCTGTAACTCCAGTTCCAGGAGATCTGACAGCCTCTTCTGTCCTCCATGGGTGGACATTGCACAACATGGGTGTACTCACATATATTCAGGCAAAACACTCATACACATAAAATAAAAATAAGTTAAAAAATTTTTAGTATGTACTCCAAAAGTATATTTACATATTTTTAAAATTTATGCATAAAATTACATGTAATTATGAATTATGCATAATCATTTATATAGAATCCCTATTATATGTAGATAATTGGAAAAATCTTTCATTCTATATATTAATCAGTTTTATACTTTTTCTTTTTTTTTAATTTATTATTTTTATTTTATGTGTATGAGTGTATTGCCTGCATGTGTTTAAGTGCACTCGTGATGCACAGTGTCCGTAGAGGTCAGAAGAGGGTGTTGGATCCCCTGGAACTGGAGTTATGGACAGTGGTTAGCCACCATGTGGATGCTTGGACTCGATCCCGGGTCCTCTGTGAGAGCAGCCTGTGCTCTTAACTGTGGAGCCAACTTTCCAGCCCCCACTTTTTCTTTTTTTGAGACAGGGTGTAGCTATGTAGCCCTGGCTGGCCTGGAACTTGCTATGTTGACCAAGCTGATCTCAAACTCACAGAGATCCACCTGCCTCTGCCTCTGCCTCTGGAGTGCTAGGATTAAAGGCATGTGCTACACCTGGCCCAGTTTTAATGTTTTTAAATTAAAAATTAACATTTTAATATAGTCCTCTGACATTCTTATGCTGTCAATGACACTTTGGAGACCACTAGTTCCTACCATCTTCAATGATCATCCAAGACATAATGAATAATTCAAACTTTTGAGATTTATTTCTCTTATTTTCTCACTTGAAATTTTACTTATTTTGTTTTTTTTAATAAGCAGTTTTTTAAAAAATATTTAATTTATTATTTTTATTTTATGTGTATGTCTATATTGCCTGCATGCAGGTAGGTGCACCTGTGTCATGCAATGCCCACAGAGGACAGAAAAGGCTGTTGGATCCCCTGGAACTGGAATTACGGATGGTTGTTAGCAGCCATGTGGGTGCTGGCATTCAAACCTGGGTCTTAACTGCTGAGCCATCTATCCAGCCCCCTCAATAAGTAGTTTTTTTAAAAGTTTTACTTATTTTTATTTTATGTGTACGAGTATTTTTGCCTGCACACACACACACACACACACACACACACACACACACACACACACACACACACACACACACACACCCCATGTGTGCTTGCTGCCCTCAGAGGCCAGAAGAGGGCATCAGATCCCCTGGAACTGGAGTTAAGACTGGGTGTTAGCCATCATATGGGTACTGGGAACCAAACTTTCATACTCTGCAAGAGCAGTAAGTGGTCTTAACTGGGGAGCCATCTCTCAAGCCCCTTATCTACTTTTTTTTTTTTTTTAAACAGATTCTCACACTGTACCCTGGACTACCTGGAGCTCGCTATGTAACCAGGGCTGGCTTTGAACTCGTGGTAATTATCTTGCCTCAGCCTCTGAATGCTAGAATTGTAGGCATGAGACACAATAACCCCCAAAATGTTAACTTTTAAAGAAGTGTTTCCTGGGCCAGTGAAATGGCTAGGGCTTGCTGGCAAGCTTGACAACCTAAGTTCAATCCCTAGGACCTACACAGAGGAAGGAAAGAACCAACTCCCATAAATTGTCCTCTCACCACGGCACATGCACACATACACACACAAACAATAAATAAATAATAAATAAATGTAATCTTTTTAAAATATTTATTATTCTATGTATATGAGTGTATTGCCTGGGTGCATATAAGTGCACCTGTGTTGTGCAATGCCAGAGAAGGTCAGAAGATGGTGTGCTGGATCCCCTGGAAATGAAGTTCCAGGCAGCTGTTAGCTGGATGCTGGGAACTGAACCTGGGTCCTTTGCAAGAGCAGTTAGTGCTCTTATCCAATGAGCTATCTCTCCAGCACCAATAAATGTAATCTTAAAAAAAATTTTAAAGCATGAAATGCTTCTTTAGATAGTCATTTGATGGTAAATGGGTAATCAAAGATTTAGATCACAGAATATCAAATGTTAAATGAGTAGCTATTAATTTTTAAATGTGTTCATTCTTCTATATAAACTATTATTACTATAGCCTTAATATGAAATTAAATATACTTCTGACACTTGTATATTAAGTGTCTCATAGTAATAACAACAAACCATTAAAAAACTTTTTACCTAAAAGTAAAACAAAACTCTACTTGAAAATAATTTCTATTGCTTTTTTAAAGGTTCTTACCTACTGCATACAGGTACTTTCTTGCTTTCTTCCGAGGTCGAACTTTAGATGTCTGCAAAAAACTATAAAACTTGTTCTCCTTGGGAGACTTGCAAACATCACAGTACTCTTTCAGAAGTGTTTGCAATGCAACACGAAGATTAAAATCAGATACTCCTAAACAATATTGAAAAAGACAATATTTTTAATAACTTTTAGATACTATTTATTGAAAAGACACATTTCCCTACCTGGGTGTGGTGGCACAAGCCTTTAATCTCAGTACTCAGGAAGCAGAGGCAGCAGGGTCTGTGAGTTGATGGCCAGCCTGGTCTACATAGAGAGTTTCAGGCCAGCTGGGGCTACAGGGAGACCCTGTCTTTTTTGAAAAAAAAAAAAAAAAAAAAAAGACCTATTTATTTTTTATTTTTTTGAGTGTTTTGTCTGCATGTATGAATGGATATCATGTGTGTGCCTGGTGACCATGGAGGACAAAAGAGGACTTTGGAGTCTCTTAAACTGGAATTCCAAACAAGAGCAGCAAATGCTTGTGACCATTGAGCCATCTCTACAGTCCCAAAGAAAAATTTTTTAAAGTTGTAAATTTCATAGTTACGATCTACTAACAAAAAGGATATGATTATAACATAAATTTTAAAAAATGATAGACAAGCTGGGGGTGGTGGTGCACGCCTTTAATCCCAGCAGTCAGGAGGCAGAGGCAGGTGGATCTCTGTGAGTTCAAGGCCAGCCTGGTCTACACAGTGAGTTCCAGGAAAGCTGGGGCTACAGGGAGACCCTGTCTCAAAAAGACCAAAAAAAAAAAAAAAAAAAAGATAGACAAAACAACAAACAAAAATTATTTTTGACAGTCTAGCCTCAAATCCATTATGTAGTTAAGGATGTCTCTCAACCTCTAATCCTCCTGCCTCCATCTCCCAAGTGCTAGGATTAAAAGGCATGTGTCACCACAACCACTTTAGAAACAAAATATTCTGATGGAATGAGGAACATTTCTTAAAAGTCCCTCGAGTATGACTGGTAGCTTGCCACTGCTCAAAAGTACTTAGCTAAGGGGATGGACATGAACTGAAAGTCAACTTGTGTCCTATTTGCCAACCTATAATACTTGCCTTCCCTGAAAGAATACCTCTCTCTAATTTGCATAAAGACATATATAGTAGTAAAGGACGGTTTCCTAGCCTCCTCACTATATCCCAAAAGCAATATTTAAGAAAGTCAACTAATAAAATAATTGGTAATTGGGAGAAAACAGAATAAGCAGTCAAAAAGCAAAGCTGAGGAAGTTGAGGAACAAAATAATAAAACATCTTGGCTGGGGATACTGCTGTGAGACAGATGCTTGCCTCACACAAATGTGGCACTGGGTTTGATCCCAAGTACCCCAGTAGAGCTCTGTTCATGTTTCAGGCTAGAAAGAAATGGTTAAGAATACAACATATGTTGCTCTAATTGTATACTGGAGAATACAAAGTAATTATACTAAGATAAAAAGGAGTGAGAAAAAGAATTAGCTCTTTGTCAAAGCATGGTTTGAAACAGAATAGGCCATGTTAACAAGATACCAAGAAAACAAAACTATATCTATTAAAGTTCATCCCAGGAAAAAGAAGACAAAGAGATTAAAGAATTCAGCCTAGAAAAAAAAACATTAGCCATAAACAGAAAGCATTCCTCTTGAGTTTCACACAGCAGAGCTACTTAAGAATATAAATTCTCTAAAGCAAGAGCACTAACTAGTACAGGATGAGATGCATCACTAAGGAGTCAGAGAATTAAAGCACCAGTATACCAGTAATGCAGACTTACTAAATTAGGAAAGAAACACAGTAGATAGGACTGAAAATTCCTGACTTGGAAGAAAGACTTAAGAAATAATCGTGGGGCTAGAGAGGTGGCTCAGCGGTTATAAGTACTGACTGCTCTTGCAAAGGACCCAGGTTCAGTTCCCAGCACCCATATGGTAGCTAACAGCTGTCTGTACTCTAGTTCCAGGGGACCCCATGCTCTCTTCTGTCCTCTGCAGGCACTGCATGCACACGGTACATTTACATACATGCAGGCAAAATACTCACACATAAAATAAAAATAAATAGAAAAAAATTTTTTTTAGTTTTTTAAAATCCAGCCAACCCAAACAATCAATAAAAAAGGTAAAATCAGTAATAAAAATACCATAATTGAAGTTGAGTTTAGTGGCAAATGCCTATAATCCTAGCACTTGGGAGGTGGACGCAGGAGGATCAGAAGTTTGAAGTCATCTTTGGCTATATATCAAATTCAAAGCCTCAGCAGCATGAGATGCTTTTTCAAACACATGAATCAACCATAGTTGAAAAGTGGTAGAGAGCATCAAGATCATTTGAATACAGAGTTAAAAGCACAGATCCAAGGAACTTATGATTGCAAATATAAATGTAAGTAAATGCTATAAACTTTGATGAACTTGGCAGAGAGAGTAGATGGACAAAAAAATAAAATGCTAATTCCTTCATTTTTTTAAAACAGAGTTGGGCTGGGTGTGGTGGCGCATGCCTTTAATCCCAGCACTCGGGAGGCGGAGGCCAGTCTGGTCTACATGGCGAGTTCCAGGCCAGCTGGAGCTACAGGGAGACCCTGTCTCCAAAAGACCAAAATAAATAGATAGATAGATAGATAGATAGATAGATAGATAGATAGATAGATAGATAGATAGATAGATAGAAAAATAGATAGATAGATAGATAGATAGATAGACAGACAGACAGATAGAAAAATAGATAATTGGTACTGTTTAAAATTGAAATATAAAACAAAAATATGATTTCTGTTTAACGATTTTCATCTTTTGTCCTTAATTTCCTAAGAACTACCAGATGATTGATACACAGACAGCTATAGATTTTTCTGAGTCTTGCACTCTAGTGCAGGCTGATCTAGAACTCACTATATAGACCAGCTTGGCTTCAAACTTAGGGTAATTCTCCTGCTTCTGAGTACTAGGATTATTGACATGAGCCACCAGGTCTGTATCAAAATTGGTTATTTCTGGATAAAGTGAAAACTGGCAGACTTCGGGTAACTTACTATTTGGTTGGTTGGTTTTTGCTTTACTAGAGACTGAACCCATAACCCTGCTCTTGCATGTAATCTATCACTGAGCCATATCCCCATACCTGTTGCTAGGTTTTTGTTTTTTATTTATGCCATTTTTAATGTATATATGTGTGTGTCTGCATGCTGGTAAGTATATGTGAATGTAGGTGCCCACAGAGATCAGAGACATCAGACCCCCTGGAGTTGGAGTTCCAGGTGGTTGTGCACCACCTGATGTAGGTGCCAGGAACTGAACCTCAGTCATCTGGATGTGGAATTATCTCTCTAGTCCCCTTATTTTTGTTTGGTTTGAGACAGGGTTTCCGTAACAACCTGGGCTGGCCTGGAATTTGCTATATAGACCAGGTTGGCCTCAGACTCATAGAGATCCTCCTGCCTCTGCTTCTGAATGCTGGGATTAAAAGTGTGGGTCACCTGGCTTTGTATTTGTTTTTCATTTTTGGAGACAGGGTCTTTCTGTAGTCCCAGGTGGCCTAGAACTTGCTATGTAGACCAAAATGACCTCACAATCTCACTGAGCTCAACCTGCCTGTGCCTCTAAAGTGCTGGAATAAAAGGTGTGCCCTGCTCCACCTGTTTTTGTTTTTTTTGAGACAATGTAGCCCTGGCTGGCCTAGAATTCACTATGTAGCCCAGGGTGGTCTCAAACTCTTGACCTTCCTGCTTCCATTTCCTAAGTGCTGGGATTATGGGCATGTGCCATCATGCTCAGCTAATGTTGGTTTTTTGTTGTTGTTGTTGTTTTTTAAAAATATTTTAATATTTTTATTTTACGTGTATTGAGTGTATTGCCTGTATGTATGTGAGTGTACCTGTGTCATGCAATACCATGGAGGTCAGAAGAGGGCTTCGGAGTCCCTGGAACTGGAGTTAAGGACGGTTCGTAGCTGCCATGTGGGTGCTGGGAATCGAACCCAGGTCCTCTGCAAGAGCAGTGAGTGCTCTTAATTGCTGAGCCATCTCTCCAGCCCCTCAGCTAATACTGTTTTTCAAAATAAATTTAAATGTTATTATTTTCTAGTATGATTAAAATTTATTTTATACCATGGTGGAAATATTTTCAGAAAGAAGTTTAAGAGTTGAATCTGGCTATAGTTCAGTGGTACTGTGCTTGCCAAGTATTCAAGAAGCCATGGGTTCAATCCAAAAGTACTGAAGCAGGATGTGGTAGTAATCCTAGTACTCAGGAAGTAAAGGCAGCAGGTTTAGTTCAAGGCCAGTCTATGTTCCATAGTGACATTTTATAAGCTGGGCAGAGTGGTACACGCCTTTAGTCCTAGCACTCAGGAGGCAGAGGCAGGTGAATCTCCTTGAGTCCAAGGCCAGCCAGGTCTACATAGTGAGTTCCAAGTCTCCATGGGGCTACAGGGAAACCCTGTCTCAAAAAAAAAAAAAAAAGTCCCAAAATAAAATGATAAAATATCAGGCTGGCTTTTTTTGGTTGTTTTTAAATTTTTTGAGCCAAGATCTTGCCATGTAGCCCACGCTGGCCTAGAACTTGCTATGCAGACTAGGCTGGCCTCAAACTCAAACCTTCCTCTCCCAGTTTCTTGAGTACTAGGATTACAGACCTGTAACACCATATCTGGCTATAAATATTAGGTTTTTCTGAATAGTTCAAAACTGAAAGAGTCAAGCAGTGTGAGAGGGCTGGTCACAGCACATCTCAGACAGTACACAGAACATCAAAAACCTTACACTAAAACAGTCTGTACTATCTATTAGTGTGAGTTCTGTCAGGAATTTTTATCTATAATACTATTTTTTTATTTTTTTGGTCTTTTCGAGACAGGGTCTCTCTGTGCCTCAGCTGTCCTGGAACTCACTGTGTAGACCAGGCTGGCCTTGAACTCACAGAGATCTGCCTACCTCTGCCTCCCAAGCGCTAGGATTAAAAGCGTGCACCACCATGCCCAGAATTAATACTATCATTTTTTATCAATAATTAATTTCAAGAAGGACATTTGGTTAAACTAATGGGCAGAAACATTGAAATACTGTCCATTCACAAAAGTTGAAAAATAATCATGCAATAAGTATGTGTTTCTGGATCAAAAAATGAAAATACACTATCACATTTCAGATAAGAAAAAGCCATTTGCAAGATTGAGATGGAACTTGCCACCCAGGTATGAGAAAAGCTTGAATTTAATCCCCAACACCCATGTAAAAATGCCCAGCTTGGTGGAATGACCCTGAAATCTCAGAGCTGGGGAGGCAGAAACAGGAGGATCCCTGCAGCTTGTTGGCTAGCCAATCTAGTTGTATCAGCCAGCTCCTGGTGTGATGAAAGGCTCTGTCTCAAAAACAAGATGAAGAGCAATTAAGGAAGACACCCACTGTTGATCTCTGGATCTGAGCACATGCATGAACACATGTGATTGCTCACCTACACATACATGTGCACACACATGAAAATACACAGAAAAAGATTAAACCTGGTGATCAACTAATTTGATATAAAGCAAAAACAAGTTACCTTCTATGTACTTTAAAAGCCTCTGAGGAGGTAACAAAGGGAATCGAATTGGATCTAGTACTTCCACCACATGTTTTCTTCTCTTTCCCACATCTTTCAGAATCCATTGCATTGCAGCTAAGAAGACTTGGTATTCATCCTCAATGCTAAGCTCTTCACTACGTAAAATTTTGATCAGCTGATCTTTTGTAAGTGCCAGGAACTCTTCCTCACAATGAACCTCCAAGAAATGGACATGAATATAGTTTTCTGTAAATTCCATAAGATCATGGCAGGCAATTTGCTCAGAGAATTGCAAGAGCCCAATGCAGTTCAGAGGATCAATTTGTCCTTTCAGAAATTCACAGCAAAGATTAACAACTTCAGTCAACTGCAGCATATCTGCTGCAACAATCAACTCCTGAACATTATTCACAGCTATATTCACTGTACCTAGGGAATTAGAAAGACAAAAGTCAATGAATCAAAACAAACACTTAACATTAACATTACTAACATTTTATATCACTAATAGTTTGATTTTTGCAGAATGGAAACCAAATAAAAAGGATATGTGGAAAGAACACAAAACTTTAAAATATTTTATTATTTTTATTTTATGTGTTTGAGTGTACTGCCTGCATGTATGTAGGTGCACCCATGTGAAGCAGTTCCCATGGAGGTCAGAAGAGGGCACTGGATCCCCTGGAACTGGAGTTATGGACAGTTGTTAGGTGCCACATAGGTGCTGAGAATCAAACCCAGGTCCTCTGCAGCCAGTGCTCTTAACAGCTGAACCATCCCTCCCTCCCCAAGAACACAAAACTTAAATGATGATACTTAACATTTCTAAAACAATTATAATGAACCAGACACAGTGTTAGTTGCTTTATACAAACTCATTTAACCCTCACTACAACCCTAGACAGTATGTATATATATATATATATATTTTTTCTTTGTCTTTTAGAGGTAGGGTCTCACTGTAGCCCCAGCTGTCCTGGAACTATGTAGACCACGCTGGCCTTGAACTCACAGAGATCCACCTGCCTCTGCCTCCCAAGAGCTGGGACTAAAGGTGTGCACCACCATGCCCAGCCAAGTAGTACATGTATTTTTATTGTTGTATTAAGAAAACAAAAAAATTAAATAATTCTGCTCCAAATTATATGACTGAACAAGCTGCAGATTAGGAACTGACATTAAAACACACACTTTGTTTGCTGAGACAAAGTCTCACTATATAGACAATGCTAGTTCAACTCCCAATCCTCCAGCCTCTGCCTCCAGAGTGCTGGGATTAAAGGTGAGCACAACACACCCAGCTAAAAAACCGTACTTTTAACACAGGTTATACTTGTAGCAAACTTACTAAGGTAGCGAGGAGAGTATCTTTATTTATGATAAAGTGTCATACAATACCAATTTTTTATTTTTTTATTTTTATGTCTCTGAGTGTTTTGCTTGCATGTATTTAAGTGCACCTTCACATGCAATACCTGTGGAGGCCAGAAGAGGGTGTTGTTGGATCCCTTGGAACTGGAGTTAAGGAGGGTTGTTAGCTATTATGTGGGAGCTGGGAACTGAACCCAGGTTCCTGGTAAGAGCAGTCAATGCTCTTAATTGCTGAGGCTTCCCTCTAGTCCCTAGTTGGTTTTTTTTGTTGTTGTTGTTTTTAATACGAGGCATAACTAAGAATCTGTAACATGAGAAACTACTAAATATTTGAACTTCCTTTTTTCTGAGACAGGGTCTATGTGGCTCAAGCTGATCTTAAACTCACTATGGAGCTGAAGATGACCTTGGACTTCTGATCTGCCTGCCTATATTACCCAAGTGTTGCTGGTATTATAGGCATGTGCCACCATGCTCAGTTTCATTTCATAACTTATAGAATGATTTTGAGAGACTATCAAATAGCCAATTATATTTAAGGGACGGGGGAAGACTGTAATTCTCTTACCTAAAGAATTTTTCATTCAGTCTTATATTTTATCCCTTTTAAGGCTCTAGAGACTTGCACATGCTAGACACTCTACCACACTGACCTACACCCTTAGCCTTTTATAATAATCACTTTATCCCTATTATAACAATGACTGTAACAAACTATCTGTCCAAAATTTTTTCTCCTGATTCTATTTATAAAGCAGTGCAGGCAAGGCTTGACCCTCTCTATTTCCAATGACCTGGTCCAAATGGATGCTCAAAAAAATAGTTTTTGAGTGACTAGTCAAAGAGATTAAGGTGACAGTAAGAATACGGAATTTAAACAGAAGTTTCTCCAGAAGCATAAGAAATATATATCAGCCAGGCGTGGTGGCGCAGGCCTTTAATTCCAGCACTTGGGAGGCAGAGGCAGGCAGATCTCTGTGAGTTCAAGGCCAGCCTGGTCTACATAGTGAGTTCCAGGCCAGCAGGGGCTACAGGGAAACTCTGTCTCAAGAAGACCAAAAAAAAAAAAAAAAAAAAAAAAAAAAAAAGAAAAGAAATATATATCAAAGCAGTATGTCACAATAGCTGCAGAGGAAACTGAGAATGAAATGGGAATTATAAATATGCATTAAAAGCAGATCATGAGTTGAGATATGTGAGTTGAATGACTATTCCTGGACAGATAATAACAAATTGCTTGAGAATAATAAATGCCCTATAACAGGACTTTATAGGTTACGAAGTACTTTCATATTTATTATAATGTATCCCATTTAACTTTCTTATCAACTATACAGTGCTATAATACCCACTTTATAAATAAGGAAAATTAGCCAGGCATGGTGGCGCATGCCTTTAATCCCAGCACTTGGGAGGCAGAGGCAGGCTGATCTCTGTGAGTTCAAGGCCAGCCTGGTCTACATAGTGAGTTCCAGGACAGCTGGGGCTACAGGGAGACCCTGTCTCAAAAAGACAAAAAATAAATAAATAAAATTTAAAAAAAATAAGGAAAATTAGGTTCTCTAAAGCTCCTTTTATTTAAGACAGAGCCTAGCTATACAGTCCAGACTGTCCTAGAACTCATAACTATTCTGCCTCAACCTCTAGAGTGCTGAGAATACAAGTGTGTGTCACATGTCTGGTTTATTCTTACTGGTGCTTAGCTCAAAAAAATTATTCAACAAAATATTCAGTAGACATTTGTTGAAAGAATGAAAGACTACAACTAAATAAAATATCTAATTATCATATAGTTGGTGGCAAAGCTAGATCTCATACTCAGATAATTTGATTTCAAATGAAATGAACAAAAATTTAAGGCAGAAAACACGTGTTAGAACATTAGAATTATGGGGGCTGGAGAGATGGCTCAGCGGTTAAGAGTACTGACTGCTCTTGCAGAGGACCTGGGTTCGATTCCCAGCACCCACATGAAAGCTTCAAACAGTCCTTAACTCCAGTTCCAGGGGAATCCAACACCCTCTTCTGACCTCCGTGGCATTGCATGATATAGGTACACTCACATGCCTGCAGGCAATACACTTATACACATAAAAATAAAAATAAAAAATATTTTTTAAAAAGCCCCAAAACATTAGCATTATGGGGGCTGGAGAGATGACTCAACAGTTAAGAGCACCGACTGCTCTTGCAGAAGACCTGGGTTTGGAGCCCAGCACCCACATGGCAGCTAACAACTCTCTGTAACTCTAGTTTCAGGGATCCAACACCCTCTTCTGATCTATGTGAGCACTGCATGACATGGGTGCACTTACATACAAGCGATACACTCATACACATAAAAATAATAAAAATATTAAAAAATCAAAATAAAACATTAGAATTATGAGTCAGGCATTGTAGCACATGCCTTTAATCCCAGCACACTGGAGGCAGAGGTAGGCAGCTCTCTGTGAAATTGAGGCCGCCTTGGTCTTCTTAATAAGTTCCAGGACAGCTGTGGCTATAGGGAAACCCTGTCTCAAAAAGACCAAAAAAGAAAAAAAAAGTTAGAATTATAGCATATGGGTAGGTAGAGGCAGAGGCTGGTAGATCTCTAAGAATTTGAGACCAACTTGGTCTACATTGCAAGCTCTAGGTCAACCAGAGCTATATAGTAAGACTCTTTATCTTACAAAAAAAAAAAAAAAAAGATGGGGCTGGAGATGTGGAGATGACTCAGTGGTTCAGAGCACTGACTGCTCTTACAGAGGACCCAGGTTTGATTCCCAGCACCCACGTGGGACTTCCTCAGGCATTGCATGATATGGGTACACTTACATATATACAGGCAATACACTCACACACATAAAATAAAAATAATAAAGTTTTTTTTTTTTTTTAAAGGACAATTTGCCAGGCGTGGTGGCACATGCCTTTAATCCCAGCACTTGGGAGGCAGAGGCGGGCAGATCTCTGTGAGTTCAAGGCCAGCCTTGTCTCCATAGTGAGTTCCAGAATGGCTGAGGCTACAGGGAGACCCTGTCTCAAAAAGACCAAAAACAAACAAATAAATAAAAAGGACAACTTGTGGGAATCTGTTTTCTCTTTCAATCATGTGGGTACTGCGGATGAAATTCAGGTCATCAGGCTTGGCAGCAAGCACCATTCCTTGCTGAGCCATCTCTCCAGCCCAGGACCTTGATTTTGCTGTAAAAACTGTGCCCTAATGAAAGTTACACTTCTGACCCTCCTATATAGATAGGGGTGAGATTTTTAACTATGTATGGTCCTTAGGATATAAGCAGCAGTTGTTGGGAAAGGCTACCAAAAAATTTTATTTTATGCCAGGTCTACATACACACAGGTGCACATCTTTAATCCCAGTACTCGGGAGGCAGAGGCAGGCGGATCTCTGTAAATTTGAGGCTACCCTGGTCTACATAGCAAATTCCAGGCCAGCTGGGACTACAAGGAGACCCTGTCTCAAAAAGACCCCAAAATGTTTTTAAAATTTTATTTTGTTCTATGTAAATGAGTGTATTGCCTGCATGTATTTAAGTGCATCATTGTCATGTAATGCCCACGGAGGTCAGAAGAGGGCACTGGATCCCCAGGAACTGCAGGTTGGATGGTTGTTAGCCACCATGTGGGTGCTGGGAACCAAACCTACATCCTCTGCAAGAGCAGTCAGTGCTCTTGATGGCTGAGCCCCCAGAAAAGCTTTCTTCCTCCTTCCTCCATTAGCTGGAATTCAGTGATAAAAAGATTAGATGTTACATTTTATAGAGGACAGAACAAAATACTAGAAGAATATTAGAACTCTAAGGACATTGTAAAGTCACCATACCAGCCTAGAAATGCCCATTATGCATTCAACCATGTGGAATCTTGTGTATCTTGTTATTTTACATCTATTTCTAGTAGCCAAATGCAGTTTACTGATACCAACTTTGCCTTAAATGTCAATCCTCTGAAATTATTATATCCCAGAAATGGTCAGTAGTTTGCCATCTTTTATTTTTTAATGGAAGTCCTAATCACCAGCAATATGGTGATAATGCCATGAACATTCTTATTCATCGATCTCTTGAATTTACTGCCAGACAACAGGAAAAACAGGCAACACAAGGCACTGCCTGTTTTTATATAATTCAACACTAATTTCAGGTATTAATCTACTAATTTATAGCTTTCAAATAAATGAAGCAGGAAGGAATTATGAAGTAGTTAATTACCTCACACAAGTTATTTGGAACAGTGAGGTCAAAAAAATCCCTTAATGTGGGGCTGGAGAGAGGGCTTAACGGTTGAGAGCACTGACTGCTCTTGCAGAGGACCCAGGTCCGATTCCCAGGACTCACATGGTGGTTATGAACCATCCTTAACTCCAGTTCCAGGGGAATCCGAAGCCCTTTTCTGACCTCCGCGGCACTGCATGACACAGGTGCACTCGCATGCAGGCAATACACTCATACACATAAAAATAATAATAAAAAAAATAAGTTAAAAAAAAATCCCTTAATGTTTAATTTGCACATTAACATAGGCTTAGGGTTAGAGTTAAGGAAGACAAGTAAAAAGCAGAACTGCATTGCATTTTTTCAAGAAGGAATATGAAACAATACAGAGAAAAATCATTTTGTAATTTTCTAAATTTAAACACAATGCATTAAAAACTACTTTATTGGGTCACCTAATTATCTTTCACCAAGTAGTTTTTTAAAAATTTTTTAAAAATTTATTTATTTTGGGGGCTGGGGAGATGGCTCAGTGGTTAAGAACACTGGTTGTTCTTGCAGAAGACCTGGGTTCAAATCCCAGCACCCATAGGGCAGCTAACAACTGTCCATAATTCCAGTTCCAGGGGATCGATGGCCTCTTCTGTCCTCCATGGGCACTGCATGACATGGGTGCACTTACCTACATGCAAGTAATACATAGACAATAAATAAAATATTTTTTAATTTATTTATATTTATGAGTATATTGCCTGCACGTATGTAAGTGCACCTGTTTCATTCTATGCCTGAGAAAGTCAGAAGAGGGTGTCAGATCCCCTGGAACTGGAGTTACAGATGGTTGTTAGCCACCATGTGGGTGCTGGAATCAAACCCAGGTCCTCTGTAAGAGCAGCCAGTGCTCTTAACCACTGAGTCATTTCTCCAGCCCTAATTTTTTAATTTTTAAATTACATTTATGTGTGTGTGCGTGTGTGTGAATGCATGCTTGCATGTGGGCATGTGTGACTATTTAGAGATCAGTGGACAACTTGCAGGTATCAGTTCTCATACTCCATCACATGGGTTCCAGAGATTGAACTCAGGTCATCAGGCTTGGTGACAAGTGCCTTTACCTGTTGAGCTGTCCCACCAGCTCCCACCAAAGGGTTTCTTAAAGAGAATACAGTATATTTTCAAAACTAGACCAAATGCAGTATTTCTTTCCAAATATTTTTTTGTTTGTGGCCAACTACACAGTAAGTTGAAGCCAACAAGGGCTACCTTGGTGAAAAAAAAACAACAACAACAAAAAAAAAACCAAGAAGAGTAATGGACATTCATTATGAAAAAAACTTTTAAGACATAAATGTATAAAAATGAAAATCACACACTTACACATATATATTGCAGTAACACAGTATATTCTTCAGTGTATTTCTTTCAAAATTTTTGTTTTGTTACACGTTTTTTGTTTGTGTATGTGTGTGGTTTATGTGAGTCTGAACGTGCGTGGGTACACGTCTGCATGCACATGTATGCATGTGCACATGTATTCATGTGGAGGCCTGAGATTTGATGTCAGGAGTCTTCCTCAATCACTCTTCATCTCATTTATTGAGGCAGGGTCTCTCAGTTTGAACCGAGCTTGCTGATGCAGCAGGACTAGCTAGCAGCTTGTTCTGGGGATCCTGCCTCTGCTTTTCAAGCTCTGGAATTACAGGCAGTCTATTACATCTACCAAGCATTTAAATGGGTTCTGGGAATCTTAACTCTGATCCTCATGCTTGAATAGCACTTTAAATGCTGAGCCATCTCTCCAACCCCCAAATGATCGTTTTTATTTACAAAGTTGGGGTTCATATATTATACACACACACATATATATATAAATATAAATACATAAAAAACTATTTGAAAGCATTCTACACTGTGCATGATAATTTAACTACATTAACTGGGAGACAAATTGTTTTCAATTATATACTGTTTATAAAACAAGAAAACATAAACATATAAAACAAAATTTTGTTTCATAAATATTTGTCTGCAGCATTAATGTTTTAAGATTCCAAGGAAATGAGTACTGGGTCAAAGGATAGGAACTTTTGAATGGGCATGGTGGTATACTCTCCCGTCTCAGCTACTTGAGAAGCTGAAGGAGGACAACAGGTTGAGCCCAGTTTTGGGCTAGTCTGATCATCACAGTGAGACTCCCATCAAAAAGAAAAGTCTCATGATAATAGGCTGCTAAAATTCCTTCCATATATATTAAATCTATTTCCATTCCCACTGTAGCGCATGGATGATTACATCATTCTTCAATCAAATCCACAGGCTATTGTAACATACCTGTGTAAATGAAATCTAGAAGTAAGTGAAAGATTCCAGCTTCAATTCCTAGAATCTGTACAACATCTTTTGAGGACTCTTTCATTCCTCCAGTGAACAAAGCTGCAAAGTATGGACTACTGGCAGCCAAAACCAACCGATGAACTTGAAAAATTTCCTTCCCAACTTGCAGCTGCACATCACAGAAATGCTGTCCATTTCTCATTTTGTTGATCTGCGCCAAGATGAGCTGGGCATGTTTATCTGATGAAAATGGACTATCACCACCAGCTTTGGCACACCCCTCATCAGCCATGATGATCACAGATTAATTAAAGGGACTGCTGCCCATTATCTGCTTCTACCTGAGAAACAAAATAAAAAGAGATCAAACAACATTACCTTTAAAATATTTATTTATTTATTTATTTATTTGGTCTTCTTGAGACAGGGTCTCCCTGTAGCTCCAGCTATCCTGGAACTCATAATGTAGCCCAGGCTGGCCTTGACCTCACGGACATCCACCTGCCTCTGCCTCCCGAGTGCTGGGATTAAAGGCATGCGCCACCATGGCCGGCTTTTATTCATTATTTTTATTTTATGTGTATTGCCTGCATGTATGTAAGTACACCTGTGTCATGCAATGCCTGTAGTGGTCAGAAGAGGGCGTCGGATACCCTGGAACTGAAGTTAGGGACAGTTGTTAGCTGGAACTGAGGCTGGGTCCTCTGTAAGAGCAGTCAGTGCTCTTAAGTGCTGAGCCATCTTCCCAGCCCCCAAACAATCTTTTTGCTAACACGTTTTCTATTCACATTCTCAACACTTAACAATTTATTTAAGAGCATAAACTACACATCAAACAAGTAAGAGCTAAACTGTATAGTACCATTTCTAGTATGCTTTCAGATAATGGAATAAGTACTGTAGGCTAGAAATCTCGGGAGGATGCTTCACAGAAGAAAGATCTGAACTGGGTACTAAAAGAAAAATACAATTAAGGTCTGAGGAAATTAAGTCCCTTGCATAAAGAAAATAAAGTATAAAGGCAAAAAGAAGTCATCGTAACATTGCAGCAAGGAAGTACACATCACAGCCAGAATGAACTTCTAAAAATCCATTGTGATCAGTCCACATGTCTGCTTAAAATCCTTCAACTTGGTTCTTCCCTTAGCATACAAAGCTTTTGTCGATCTTTGTTATAATTCAAAGCTCCGTTCAAATACAACTTTTTCAAATAAACTCTTCCCTGTTTCTCCTCTAGATTTGGTGCTCATCCTAAGCTTACCTGTTTCCTATATCACACTCTACCTTGTTAGATACTCCCACCATCCTAATCCCAGTTCACATACACACAAACATACACAAAGTTCTTGAAAGATAGTCCCTTTATGTTAGGGACTACCTTCCACTGCTAGAGCATATCATATACCAGCTTTTCGAATGTTTGTGAAATGAGAAATAACAAAATGTTTGGAATTTTTGTTTTATGAGACAAGGTCTCACTCTGAAGCCCAGGCTGCCTGGAATTCATTATACATAAAGAATTCTACAGACCAGGCTGGCCTCTTCCTCCTCTGCCTCCCAAGTGCTGGAACTGCAGGCATGTACCACCATCCTTGCCTGAACTGTTAGCTTAGCTTTTCCACAAATTATGTCAATTGTAATTTTTATAATAATTAAGAGAGAAGAAAAGATAATCTTCTCTCAGATCACAGAAAAGTAAACTAAATATCAAAGTTTCCCCAGATTTAGTAATATTGATAGTTGAGGTAATTTACTCTAAGCCTAGGGTTTTACCTAACACATCACATTACACAGAAATTATTAGGTCAGGTTTTAGAAAAAGGGCCTTGAAACTCAAGGACAGAAATGTGTACCTGAGTCTTTATAGACTTAACAAAAATGAACATATCACTAGTCATTTCAGAACTGTTAGGTTCTTCAGAAGCATAAATTAGGAGATAACCAAAATTTTACAGACGCTGCAATGAGAATCAAAGGTTAATTCAAGTTACCTTCTGAATTGAATCAAGAAACCATGAAATCCTGCAATATAAAAGACAAGAAGATAAAACGCAGAGGAAACCTGGAAGCGAAGAGATGGGTCAGTGGTTAAGAGCATTGGCTGCTCTTGCAGAGAACCCAGGCTCAGTTCCCAGCACTCACATGGTGGCTTACAACCATCCATAACTCCAGTTCCAGGGGATCCAATGCCTTCTCCTGACCTCTACAAGCATTGTACAACATGGGGGCACTTACATACACGCAGGCAAAGCACTCTCACAAATAATAATAATAATAACTCCAGTTACAGGGGATCTGATACCATCTTCTGTCCTCTCTGGGCACTCCAAGACATGGATACACTTACATACATGCAGGCATAACACTCATACGCATAAAATTAAAAAAAATAAGACATTAAAAAAAAGAGGAAATCAAGATGATTATGGTCATAATTTAGGCACCAAGGAAAATTGGTAATAAAATTGACAGAATTGTTGTAGACTGACATGAGAAGAAAATGTTAAGTATATAGCATCTAATAAAACAAGTCAAATTAATTAAGCTGATCACCAGGCGTGGTGGCACACGCCTTTAATCCCAGCACTTGGGAGGCAGAGGCAAGCAGATCTCTGTGAGTTCAAGGCCACCCTGGTTTACATACTGAGTTCCAGGACAGCTGGGGTTACAGGGAGACCCTGCCTCAAAAAGACCAAAAAAAAATTTTAAAAAGCTGATAATCAAGACTATCTAAGCATTATCTTTTTGAAAAGTTGATAAGTTTTAAGGGAGCTGTTAAAACTTCACATCAATGCTGGGCATGGTGGGCCATGCCTTTAGTCCCACTCCAGAGGCAAAGACAGGTGGATCGTTGTGAAATGAAGGCCAGCCTGGTCTACATAGAGAGTTCCAGGCCAGCCAGAGCTGTAAAGTGAGATCCTGTCTCAAAAACAAACAACAAAACATTTCACATCAGCATGCACATGATGTCAACATCTACAATTAAGTAGCACATAAACATAGCGTAGTTCCCTCTACATAGAAATCTGACCTGCAGATATTATTAAACATGACAGGGGTGTCAGGCTTATTATATTTCTTCCTATCAGCAGACCCTTTGTCTCCTGCCCTCAAGGCATCAAAGCACAGCCAGTCACCAAGTTAAAATGCCACCTGTTAAACGAAACAGTTCGCTAGTCAGTCCAGGAGAAGATGTGGAAATCTCTGTACCACCCTTCTCAGTAAACGCTGATACCATCCCACTACCATTGGAATATCTCATCCCAAAAGGTGACATAGGAGTTGATGGTGTTTCCAGACGGAAAAAAAAAAAAAAAAAAAAAAAAAAAAAAAAAACCAGCTCTGGACACTGCATAGGATCTAAGGAATATGCCTCAAGGGAATCCAAACTTGAAAGGCAGTTATTAGGAAACGATGGGGATGATCACTGGTGGCCTTCACGGTCAAGAGCATCTGAAAGCTACTTCCGGAAAGGGATCAGAATTCCCGCAGCGCATCAAAACAAGTGCTTGAGTTGGAGGAAAGACCTAGAGTTAGCTCTAAACTGCAGCGATGCTGCAGGCGGAAATCCATTCCGTGCGACCGACTCGACCCGGGACGCTCTCGGGTTTCCCGGGTGGGGGTGGGGAGAGGCTGCGGCGGTGCAGACTAGAGGAAGCTCACCCGAGGGCGAACACCCAACAGCCTGAGCGCCCCCTGAGGCCGGAGGAGGAGAGCCCGGCAGAGGCCGGTTCCAAAGCTGTCACTTTCATAGTCCCCGGTCCAGAGAGCCGGACACAAGGAAGTTCCCAACCCCTTGAGAGACACGCACTGGAAGCAAGCCAGCTTACCCGCCGAATCCCTTCCCGCCGGCGCCCGCCGAGGTTCTGCGCGCGCAGGCAGCACGGGCAGCGAAGGGGGCGGGGCAACCGGGGCGGCCGCGGGTCGGGGTGGCAGAGGGCTGCAGGCGAAGCTCCTCCCCTGCCCGCCCCCTTCTATTGGGCGTGCTCAGTGGGCAGACCCTCCCCGCTGCGCTTGCGGCTGCCAGCCCTGTCCTGAGCAGGTGTTTTCTTGCTGTGCCGGAAGGCTCCGGTTTGCTGTGGTTGCCAGTCCTCCTAGTCCATTCCGTCTGCATTCTCGATTCTTGTGGTGTCTCGGTCAGTCCACCTTTCTTGACGTTAAAGAAAAACACCTGTACAGTACCACTCTACCAGTCTCCTAGATCATGTTCTGAGCTTGGACTGACCCCAGGTGAAAACAGAGAACTCAAAATGCCCAGTTCTGTCATAAGGTGTCACAGTAGTGACTTTCGAACTTTTAAAATAAATACTTATTTTATTTTAATTGTGTGTGTATTCACGTGAATGTAGGTGCCTGGAGGTCAGATCCTCCAGAGCTGGAGTGATGGTTATGAGCCGCCCAGCGTGGGTAATGGCACCAAACTCAGGACCTGTGCGAGAGCAGTATGACTTCTTCACAACTAAGCCATCTCTCCAGACTTTCAAACTTTCTTTTTAATCCTTGCCCTTAATGGACTAAAACTTTTAAATTATTTTTATTTTGTGAGTGTTTTGCCTGCGTGGATCTAAGTGTATGGGTGTACAAGGTGGGCAGAAGGCATCAGATTCCCTGGAACCTGAGTTACAGATGGTTGTAGCCTCCTTGTGGGTGCTGGGAACTGAAGTCAGGTCCTCTGCAAGAGCAACTTGTGCTCTTAATTGCTGAGCCATCCATCCAGCTCCTACAAAAAGTGTTTTACATCAAACCCATACCATTTACTTGTATATCTAAAATTTTTCACAAAAGTAGTTTATACTTACCCAAATGCACTTAACCTCTACTTTGTGCTTCATTACCAATGCAAAAAAAAAATCTGCAAGAATAAATTGCAGAAAACTTGTTAAGGACAAGAAAAGAACAAAACGGATTCTCGGAGGCTTTCAGTGTAAGGCTTGGCATTATCTGGCAGATATTGGAAGGAGAGTTCCATCGGGCTCTGACTTTGTTGACAGAGGTTTTTTTTTATGAAAAAACTAGTAACACTAAAAATAACTCTTCATCTGTAGAACATACCCAAACAATACATTTTACTGATACTAAATCACTTTTGTCCCTTTTAATTAATTCATTTCAATATTCCAGACTCCTAGAAAATTCCTGTAACATCCTACTGACTTCCTCACTAAAGAGATAAAGTACTTAATGTGTCTATTTTATATTTGTGCGAGAATCACGATTTCATTTTTTAGAAATTAAACCTAAGTACTACTAAAGTTATTAAGTTATTTTTGCAACCTACTATTATGTTGGACCCAGCAATTTGAAAAACATTGTTTTAGTATACATACTTAGGAGCAGAACTGCTGGAACATGATGATTTGTGCATCTTCAATTTTGCAAGAAAATACTTTTTTTTTTCTTTTTGAGACAGGATTTCCCTGTAGACTCAGCTGGTCTGAAAAAACTCCCTTTGTAGACCAGGCTGGCCTTGAACTCACAGAGATCCACCTGCCTCTGCCTCCCAAGTGCTGAGTTTAAAGGTGTGTGCCACCACGCCCAGTTGAAAATAACTTTTTTTTCAAACTGTTTGTATATATCAGTTCCCTTATTCTGCATCGTCAACATTTAATATTAAATTTCTCAATTTTGCATAATCTACTTATGATATTTCGTATTTATTTCAGTTTAGATTCTCTGATTATTAATAAGATTGGATAATAAAAAGATGTTTATAGGTGAACTGTGTCCTCTCTCCAGTTCACATACTGAAATTCTAGCCACCAAAGTGATTTTATTTAGTCAATTACAGTTCCATGGGGTCATGACAGAGGTACTTTCATAATGGAATCAGTGTGTGTCTTTATGAGAGTAGAAAACTTTTTTTCCTTTCTTTTTTTCTTTTTCACTTTCTTATAAGCAAAAACAGGAAGTCTTATGATCACACAGTCATCAGCAGCTACCTTCAAGCCAAAAGAAATCTCAGAATGAAATTACCTTACTATCACTCTGAGCTTGGACTTTAGCCTCTAGAACTTTGAGAAATAATTTCTATTGTTGAAATCATCTAATCTATGTCATTTTGTTATGGTACCCTAGACAGACTAAGTCATAGGCCGATTAAGTTTCTTTTTTCATTAAAAATCTTTTCTTTTGTCTTTTTGAGACAGGGTCTCCCTGTAGCCCCAGCTGGCCTGGAACTCACTATGTAGACCAGGCTGACCTTGAACTCACAGAGATCTGCCTGTCTCTGCCTCCTGAGTGCTGGGATTGAAGGCACCACCAAGCCTATTTTTAAATTTTTTAAAAATTATTTTTATTTTATGTGTATCAGTATTTTGAACACATAGATATAAGTGCACATGTATGCAGTGACCATGGAGTCCAGAAGAGGGTATTGAGTCCCTTGGAACTGGAATTATAGCTGGTTGTGAGTCTACATGTGAGTGTGGGAACTAAACCCTAATCCTCTGCAAGAGCAAGCAGTGCTCTTAACCACTGAGCTATCTCTCTAGTCCCAACTAATTTCTTAATATTAATTTAGTAGCATTTCTTTCTCTCTCTATTTCTCTCTCTCTCTCTCTCTCTCTCTCTCTCTCTCTCTCTCTCAACAGATTGAGTCTAATTAGTGTTGCCTATTGGAAATTTGACTGATTGTGACTTGATCTCATGCAGGTGATCATCACTAGCTGCCATGAGTTCATAGCACTTCTCCCCATCCTCCAGCCTACAGCATTTACATTCTTTTTACCTCTCTTCCTTGATGTTTCTGGAGTCTTGGAGTGGGGATTGCTATAGATATCCCATTCAGGGCCAAGCATTCACTAGATACTTATTCTCAGCACTCTAACCAGTTATAAGCCTCTGCATTAATTGCTGACCACGCAGAGAGAAGTCTCTCGAATGGCATAGGAGAAGAGCTGCTGCTTGAGAGACGGGTTCCTGGCATAGCCGATAATCAAGCTGCCAAATACAGTTCCAATGCCAGCCCCTGATCCAGCCACACCAACTGTGGCGGCCCCAGCACCAATAAACTTGGCTGCTGTGTCAATGTCCCAGGAGACAATGCTGGTCTGGAACTCCCGTCTGGCTACCTGGAGAGGGGAGCTGCTGCAGGGAGGCTGTTTAGAAGGGGCCTCTGGTCTACTCAGGAGGGAGGGAGACACAGGCCTGATTAGACCCCTGGTACAGGAGCGGATCAGACGGGAGAAATGAGCAATGCCCTGGTGGTCTGCATTTTGTCTACCTCACAGCTGTAGCCCTTTCTCTTTCTTTCTTTTTACATGAGCTTGAGTAAGATTAGAGGAAGCTGAACTTGTCTATAAATTTATATGATCTGTGGTTTTCTTTATGCAAATATTTTATTGTTGTTTTCTGTTATTTTGAGACATTGAACTCACAATCCTTCCTTGGCCTTCTAAGTGCTAGGCTTATAGGTGTACCACCATGCCTATTTATTTATTTGGTTTTTGTGGGACTGGGTCTCGTGAACTCCAGGCTGGCATTGTGCAGTCAAGATGCCTTGAAATGATGATCCTCTTGCCTCCATCTCCCAAGTACTAGGATTATAACTGTGCACCACCACACCTACACACCTGGCAGTTTATTCTCTTCAATGGTGACAAAACTATCATATTTTCTTTTTATTCTTGAATCCATTTTTAAATTTTTCATTTTATGTGTATGTATGTATTGCTTGCATGTAGGTAAGTGTACCCATGTCGTACAATGCCCTTGGAAGTCAGAAGAGGCTGTCAGATCCCCTGGGACTGGAGTTACAGACAGTTGTTAGCTGTCATGTGGGTGCTGGGATTCAAACTGGGGTCTTCTGCAAGAACAACCAGTGTTCTTAACCGCTGAGCCATCTCTCCAGCCCCTCTTGAATCAATTTTTCTAGTTTACATTCTTATATAAATTTGTGCTTCTTAAAATTGAGATGAAATGGTATATAATAAAAACTTTCATTTTTTAAGACAGGGAATATTTTATTTACAACCCATCAGAGAATATGACAAAGCATTCATGTTTAAAGCATAGGTCAGTAACTGGCATGGGTCAGTAGTTGTGTAAGAGCATACACTGCCACATACAAATCAACCAGTTAATTAAATGAGACCACAGCTTTCAATATTTGAACAGAATAAGCCTCTCCTGTAAAAACATCACCTTTGTGACATTTTTTGTGTGGGGGGGGTTGGGACAGGGTCTCCCTGTAGCCCCAGCTGGTCTGGAACTCCCTTTGTAGACCACATTGGTCTTGACCTCACAGTGATCCACCTGCCTCTGCCTCCCAAGTGCTGAGATTAAAGGCATGCACAACCATGCCCAGCCTAGGATTTTGTTTCTTAATTCATTTAACAAGCCTATGTCTTTTGACTAAGGAGTTGAGGCCATTAATATTTAAAGTTATTATTGAAAGATGTGGATTGGTTACTGTTGTTTTATTTTCTTTGCGTTCTTAATCTATTTTGTGTTTCCGTACTTTACACCTTTGTTTGTTTTCATTCTGTAACCTCTTCAGTACAGCATTTCTTTCTTCAGTACTTTTGAGTATTTTTGGTAGGGTGGTTTGGTGGAAGTGAATTCTTTCAGCCTATATGTGTCATGAAAGAGTTTTCTTTTCCTTTCCCCTATGATAGGCAGTTTTGCTGGGTAAAGTATTCTGAGTTGGCACCTATGGTCAATTAAATTGGAAATACTTTGGTCCAGGCTCTTCTATAGTTTGCATTGAAAAGTCAGTTGTAATTCCAATGGTTATTCCTTTATATGTAATTTGTTTTTTTCTTGCAGCTTTCAGTACTCTATCTTTGTTGTGTACATTTAATGTATTTACCATGATGTAATGTGGAGAGTGTCTGTTCTGTTCCTGTCAAATGGGTGTTCTGTATGTTTCTTGTATCTATATAGGCATGCCTTTCCTTAATTAAGGGAATTTTCATTCTATAATTCTGTT